AAGAATGTTTGCTGAGCTGTGAAACAATGGATTGTTGTTGCCATTGTGTCCCTCTGTTCACGTCAGTTTGCACAACAGAGCAGGTTAGAAAGATCACATTTCAACAGGGAATGTTCTGCAGTGGTAAACAGCAGCAAGTGGTTAATTTCTGCCTGGTCCAGAAACCACTAAAACCTGCTCGTAACAAATACCAGTAACTTCTACTACTGGGTATTCTGCTGTTCTTACAGATTCCGCTGCCTTTAAGGCCTGTTAGTCTGTCACTTACACAGTAAGTACCACCAAAACAGCAGGAATGTTTCCAAAGAAGTCAGAAGAACACCAGTCATATAACAAAACTGTGTTCGCTGGGCTAAAACAATGTAATCTAAACTTGTCTGGGGACACAAACCGAGTGCTCCCAATACAGCTGAGGTGTAATGCCTCCGGCATTAATGGAGTTGCAACAAGCACAGGTTTAGCTCATTGTGCTCGGTGCTATTTGAGGTACATTGGGCTGTCAGCCAACAGGCATGGAAAAAGCTGCTGGAGACAAATTCTCTTTCACACTGGCAGAATGGAAGCAAGGCTGAGAGCTGTGCAGCATTTGTGATCTGGACATTAAAAGGGACGCTGTCACATTATTGAAAACCAACCTTCAATATTTTACACAGGAATTGTGGCACCAGGCATGACCCAAAATTTATGAGCTGCTGACAGGGGCCTGTGCCAGACGTTCCGGAGAATACACACAATAATGTGTAGGCAGCATGGACATCTCAAAGAGTGTCCTTTTGGCTCCAAGGTTAGCAGGTATTCCATCTCCCTAAACAGGAGGCTTGTCTGCCCTTATTGTATGGAAATGCAACTCAGTCTTTTCACTGGCTGAGACTTTCAAACCTTGGAGTGAGATCCCTGCTGTGCTTACACACCTGACATGGGTGACAGCTTCACAAATAACACTAGCTAGCTAATAACACTAATCATAGAATCACAGACTGGTTTGGGTTGGAAGGGACTTTAAAGATCATCTAGTTCCAATCTCCTGCCATGGGCAAGGACACCTTCCACTAGCCCTATTTTGTTATTTTTACACCAGAGGCAAGTCATGAAGCTGCTGTTCCTTCAGTGAAAGTCCTGTTGTCTTCAGTATAAATTTGAAAGCCAAAAAACCTTTCCTGATCCTTTGTAAATTTTACGAAGCTCCCCACCTCCACAGTGCCAAGTTGCGCAGGTCCGTTGTACAGTGTATGAATGATAATCCTCTTCCGGAGCTACACATTTACCTTTCAGCCTCACTGTATGCCGAGAGAGTAAATAGTGCTGTTGAATGTATTTCAAAGCAAACTTCCAAACATGAACAAATTGCTTGGGAACCAACAGACAATTTTAATTCTCATCTATGCCACATGACAACACGTACGTTCATCCTGCTTTCCTTCCGCCCTTCTGATTACTCATTGCAGCTCAGAAACACGTGAAGTGTCTGCACCGCCTCGCAGCGCACAGAAGGAGCGTGCTCTGCACCACCACCAGCCCCAGCCTACCGAGGTGTTGTGTGTTTACTGAGTACTAGCATTTAAAATATCAGCAAGCTGAAAAGGGCCATCAAAGAGAAATCAGTGCTGCATCTCTGGTTCATCACCCATCATGCCATGGCAGCTGCCATCCCACTCTGCTGCTGCTGTTGGCATCAGCACATATAGAGATGCCACAAAACCAGGGTGCTGAGCTCCACCACACCAGAACTAAGGAAATAAACTGCATCAAGGCACTGCAGCTTCTTGGTAGGCAGGAAAGCAGGGTTTGTTTGTCACATTGCAAAGTTCAAAGGCAATCAAAACAGCAAAAACTTATCAGACTGCTGTTGAATTACAGCATGAATTACACTTTCTCAGAGAGCACAGAAAGGCAATTGTGGCATTATATTTGGACTTCTCCGAAGTCCTTCTCTCAGTGCCCAGCACTTGCAATGCAGCTGTCTGTGCTACATGCAGTTCGTCACTCCTGTGCTCAAAGGGAAGAGACTCAGACAGGAAAAATACGCAGGCAACACATACACCCACAAAATAAGAACAATTCCATCCTCAGCAAGGATGCAATGAAAGCAAATTGTGCGAATACAGAGCTATGTGCAGAGATTTTTGTGTGTAGAAGTGTGTTATTGTCAATCCTTCCAGTGACTGGGCACACAGGAGCTCTGACAGTCTCACAACACTACCTGACCACAATGCTATTAAAGCTTTTGGGAGAACCAGCAGCGATGGTTGGCTGCACTGCATTAACTGACAACAAAAATAGTTGCCAGGACAGAGCAGTAGGCACAGCATTCCTCCCTAACAGAAGCACTCATCTCAAACACAAATTATTCAGTAAGCTATGTGCCTCTAAGGAAGCATAAACAAATCACGGTTGCATAAAAGTGGTTCAAAGCCAGACATTTGCTATTCTGTGGACAGACATACCCAGAACTGCCTATTTGAAATCTGTGTGACCCCAAGATACAGTTATCTGAAGGCAAACTTTTAAACACATCATAAATTAACTTGTACAGGAGCAGAAGCTGCCATGCAAGCAGGCCTTACCAGGGAATTTCATCAAGCACCGAAAAAGCTTAGAGAATAAACCCAAGTCTTAATAAAGATTTGTGTCAGCCTGGGCTGACTAATCCCTGGTGTCTGCCCAGACTCCTCACCTGAGAACGGAAAACGTATCAGCCCCAGCAGGCTGTAGATCAGTATCAATGAATGCTTCACCCATACAAAGCCGCTCTATAAATCTGCCCGTATTTAATACACATATTGCCACAGCATGCAAACGAGAGGCAATGCCAGCATGAGCAGCTCTCATGCAGTGTTATGTCCTGCTCCCCTCCCTCTGCTCCCCTTCCACAAACAAACAGCCACCCTTGAGCAATGCAAATACTAGTGATCAGTACATACAACAGGCGTTGAATGTCTCATAAATAATCATGTGAAATTGCCAAACAACTGGAGAGTTGCTCTGGAAATTCACTGTGTTTTGGCCAAGACTTTACAGTGAATTAATTCAAGTTGGATCCTCTGTATGCCTCAACTTCCCAGCTGCACATTCAACAATATTTCATACCTGAACCACCACAAATTCCTTTAAACTAGTGCTCTTAAAATGAAAGAAGCTTCCAGGAAGGAGGTTGTGTACAGGCAGATCCCTGCAATGGAGAACATGAAAGAAGAAAAAAAGAAATGACACCAACTGGTTTGTTTGCTTGATATAAGCATCTGCGAGCAGGTTAAAGGCTTAGGGAACTGATGAGTCTGCTCTTAACCTGTGTTGCTATGCTTTGCACAATGACAGCAGTGTTTAGTTATCCTCAAGCTGGCAAAAAAACCCAGGGCACTGAAAGAGGGGAAATCATTCCCATCAGCAGTTGTAAGCAGATAGGTCTGGAGCACACAGTAGTACACTCTCAGGCACTTTTCATCTACTTCATTGTTTCCTGTGCAGTGCACCCTCAAGAGTCAAAACGTCCAGAATAAAACAAAACCGCAACTACAGAGACTGCTCCACATATGTTTGCTACAGGCATGGTTAGCTGCTGCTGTAGTTTTCTGTATCAGAGTTAACAAGATGAACTAAGAGGACTTGTCAAAGTGAATAAAGAATCAGCCTATGCAAATACCCCCCAGCCGCCTGCTCTGGGATGCACACAAAACGTCTGCACTGTGATGTGATCGAGCGTTGCAGATGCCGATGAATGCAAAGTGCGGATAAAGGCCCAGTCAAACAGTGAACTGAGAGTCATGCAGACGTATTGAAGCACAGCTAAGCATGGGTTTGAAGTCTACGTGTTGGATTTAGAGCCTAAAAATAGTAATAGAGCATTTAAGTCTAGATCTAGAGCTTAGTGCTTTGCAGAAAAATCAAGGATGGAGAAAACTAGTGGGATGCTCTGACATGGCTCAGGGAGGAAAAGAGTGCTGAGGTCTTCGGACAGCAAGGACACAAGTGGGAGAACTGGCCTGATTTCTGCTGGTCTCATTATTTGATGCTTTGGTGCTCTTCCTTCTACATCACTGAGGGGAGATGCCTCCACTTTGCCATGCTGAGGCATTGGGTTCCACTTCACAAGTAGCTACAATGCTTTTCTGCTGCAGCAGAAGCTCTGTTCACCTTCTTGTGCAGAGGATGGATCACTGCTACTGAATTAATTAACTGGGAATTGCCCGTGCTGACAGTAGGATGCAACCCTGGGTAGTGGGTATCACAGGCCAGCTCTCTTCCACACTGGAGACTTACCGTTAAAGGACCAGGCACTGTGTGCCCTCAGACATGAACACCTCCAAAGTCTGCTGCTTGCTGGCGTTATTGAGGCAAATCTTTACTCCTTACAGCACTTCTATGTGCTGTATTTTTTAGGCTACTGCCAGCTCGGGAAGCACCTTTTGACTTGAACCAGACAGCTTAGAAATTGAGAGAAAGGATTGGTTTCTTGCTTTTTTCAAGCTAGGCTTGTTTGTTTGTCTGCTGGATGGAGGGCTTTTTGTCTGTGAATCCATAGTCACTCAGAGAAACAGCATTACCTGTTGCAAATGATTTCTCTTGAGAGCTTACCTAAACCAAATCAAATTCAACCACACTTGGAACTACTTCTGGTACACTCCTTAGGCCGTTTATCAGAAACAGCAGAAGCTATTGGTTTGATGATGTTTTACCATGTTCATCCATTCAACTATTTCTCTACATTTGGATATGTTTCTGATAATCACCCTCTTAAATCCCCTGCTTGAACCTTCTCCCCAGTGTCAGCCTACTTCACCAGCAGCCGAGTTAGCATCTGTAAGCGGTTCAGCCCTGTCAGTGGTTTAACATCTTTAACAGGATCTGAAATATCTGTAGCAAGCTTGTTTTACAGCCCCATTCATAGGGATTTGGGATAGATGACATGGTCCAAAAGCCTCTCCTAGTCTTTGCGTGTTAAATGCCATCTCCAGCTCCTCTCTGATTCCTGCTCCTTTTCTCTTTCCTGACCAGGTATCAGCTGTGTGAGCTGCTGGGGAAACAAGGAGAAGCAGGCTGAACTCATGGAGCACTCTGTTAGGACTCTGTGTCCATACACAGTCAAACTTCCCTGGAGAACACAGAAGAAAAATCCAGTTTCTGGAGAGCAGATGCCCACTCCTGTAAGTCATTGCCCCCCAGTTCCCCCAGAGTCCTACAGTTGTTTGCAGTCTGCTGTTGTCTTTCAGAGACAAACTATGTCTATCTCAGCAATGAAGGCGGATTTGAACCAGTGATACAGGGTGAGGTGCTGTCCTGCCCCCTCCAGTTACACTGATCCCACTGAAAGAGGCACCATCAGGAAGGGGAGGGGGCTTGACCTGCAACAACATGCAGACAGTTTTATCTCTAGAAAAGAGGGTGAAGGAGGAGCAGGAGAGTTGGGACCAGAAAAACATGTTTCCTTCCCCTCCTTTGGAAGAACTAATTGTCAGCCCCTGCGAGCTACAGTGGGGTTGCTCCCTGATGTTCGAGGTGCCATCCCAGTCCAACAAAACCAGCCTTTGTTTTGCTGCTATTGTAGATGTAGCTGGCTTTGTCACTTCGAGGAGCTCTTCCAACTGCACTAGCATTTGAGAAAGTTTTATTTGGGCAAATAAACTTGCCCAGCTGAAGAAGGATGGCTGATTTCGTTATTCTTAGCAACAGGATAATTCATATCTGGTTACATTACTCTGTACAAAGCTATATGATTAATACGTTTCTTGTCTTCCTGTGATTAGTTTTTAAGCAGCAGCAATGACATGGAAGGGTTTTATCAGACTTATTAGAAAAGACTATCCCCATTCTTCCTTTTATAATGTTAATACTGTAGTTACAGTCTCAGTAGATCTGTCATAAAAAATGTTGTCAAAGGAACCAAGATAAGTGCAGAATTATTTGCTGTTTGTAAAATCCAGACACATCGCAGAAAACAATAATAACACAAATAACTTTGATAAAAGTTTCAAAAAAAGCTTTTTTACAGCCCCAGCAGTAATTACAGCTCGTATTAAAATAAGCTTCTTACAGTGGGCTTAATTTATATTTTAGTACAAGAAAACAAATAATGCTGTCTGACAGAACAGACTTCACCCTGGTTTCATCCAGGTTATTGCTGCTTGGCAAAAAACATACCTGGGGTCCAAAGAGCTGTAGGGAGACTTCTGGCTCCTCTGTTCTACTCCTCAGCAAATGGCAGGGGCATAAGCTGGTGAAACAGGGACCCCAGGGATTACACCAGTAAAGCCCTCCCCTTCAGGGTTCTCAGGGATCTGGGGCACCCCATCGCTAGCTGCCTGCAAGTGGGGCTGTAAGAGACTGCTGCTGCAGCTCCCCAGACCTCCCTGCACTCAAGACATAAATGTCTCCTGTTCTTCCATGGCTACCCATGGTAATCTTGCTGTGGGTACAACAGCTGAGCATCCCCAGTTGAGAAATAGTCATCTTCCCACTGTGCCATGTTCAGCTTCTGGATCAGTTTTCTCCACTTCCCCCAAGGTTTTCAGCACGTTTCAGAGGCTGTCTCAGGATCAGAGGCCATTTACAAATGCCACTGTTCCTTGAAGACCACTGGTGAGACACTTCCCCTAAGTTGGGTTTTTTATCCCTTTCCTCCATATGCCCAGGCATATTGGCCAGACAAAAACACTATCACTACATTATGGCACCCATAACTCTGGAGGTCAGGTTCTATTTTAATTCAGGTTTTAAATTATTGCTTTAAACACAGTGAGACTGGTTTTCTAGATTCTTTTTTCCTGGCAGTGTTTATAGAGCAATACATGCCACTGTGGACCAAGACTTGATTAGTTCTTCTGGATTTTGTTATCAAATTCATAACAAAGGACTCTTTTAGAGTAAATGGGATATAACAGAAGTTACACAGGTATGCCATTACACTTTACCATTATCATTTAGAGCTAGTTTCTTTTGTAGTCATTAATAATGAAAATATAATAAACTTCAAAGCTCACCATTCCAGCACCAACTTTCCCTCTGATTATAATTAAGATGTCAAAATTAATTTCCCTCTCAGAAAGCAGGAACTTTTCTTTCTTTGCTGATGGATCAATTTTACAGATGCCAGTTCTCAGCCTCCACAGCTCAGCAAGAACTCACTGTGAAGGGCAGTGTGGTAGAGCACAAAGTCCTCCCTTTTTCAATGTCAGCCCTCAAAGCCAGTTTCACTAAGAAAGGAAAGACAGACCTGGTGGTAGAGGGCCCCTGCAGGCTTGCGCACTATCTGTGGGGATCATAAAATCATTTAGAATCATTTAGGTTGGAAAACACCTTTAACATCAAGTCCAGCTGCTAGGGTCTATTTCTGGTCTCCAGAGCATCACATGGTGCCTTTCATTTTGAGGTGAATGAAATAAGATGTAGCAAGGACATGCAGAAGCAGCTCAAGGGCTCATGAAAGGTGTGAAGACAAGGAGGACACTGTTGAGGCAGTGCAGGCGCTGCAAGGCTGCAGAGCTGTGCTTCAGAGACACTGGGAGGGCTGCACATGCACCAGTGTGTCTGACACCCCTGAGTGCTCCTGCTCTCCACACGTGCTGGCCCAGACTAAGAGCAGGGATGTGGGTATCCTGGAGGATGCCCTCATCCAATTAAACATTCATGTCCTCTTGCTTCTTCTCATGTATTTGTACAGGTTTCTCAGCTGATAACACACCAGCAAATACATTATTCAGCCTGGCACACTGACTGCACTGCTGGGTGCTTCCATTACACTGATATTGTCCAACACTTACAAGCTGGGAACCCAGGATTCACTGTGCTGCACCTGAGTGCCCCAGCAGAGCATGGCCAGTACTGCAGGGGCAGAGCAGGCTGCAGCAGTGGGATGGGGCCAGAGCCAGGGATCCCAGTCCTGGCTCAGCAAAGCATGGGATCACACAGCCCAGCTCCTCCAGCTCCCTGTCAGCCCTGGTAGACCTAGGTGAGGCAAGATGGGCCTCTCGGGGCTGGAGTAACACTTGTGCTTCTGCTGTTACACTGCACAGCCTCTACTGCCACAACAGGTCCCTTCCTCGCTTTTCCCACATGCACCGTGAACAGAGCAATTACCTTTGCATCTCACACGGGGGCTGTGAAGTTTAATTAATCTGTGCATTTCGACACTTTGTGCTCTCAAAATGTAGTGTGTTTAATTCTTCCATTACTTCACAGTTAATAGCATTATTTATTTGAGTAAGGATGGTCCCACATGCCCCGTTTGATGCCAGGTTCTCGATGCTGTAGAGTGCATGGGCAGAGGGAGGAGTGGCCCCAGTACAGGGGATCAGGGTGGGCTTGGGATGTGTAGGTGGTTCCCCCAGCACATTTAGGGAGAGACAGCAGGGACCCTCTGTGCTCTCTCTCTCTCAGGGACATCACTGCCTGTCCCATCACAGTTCCCAGTGGTCCCTGGGCACTCATTGGCACTGGTACCACACCTCATCAGTGAAAGTGAACGTGCCTGCTCCAACCACGAGCCAGCACCTCCGTGACAGGGATGGGCCCTGGCCAGGCAGAGGATCCCCATTGTGGGTGGGGCTGTGGGCCTGGGCCAGACCCTCCGCAGGTGGGTCTGAGTCTATACATGTCTCCAAGCCACAGGGTGAGGAGAGGTCACAGCAGCATAGTCCCTGGTACCTGCACGTGCTGTCATCCAATGGGGAAGAACGCATCCGTGTGTGATGAGCAGGGTGGTAGGAGGGGGATGCAGTGAACAAAGGTGAAGCTTAGCCCCAGCTTATCACAATGCAGCCTTCATGCTCAGCTGCTTATAGACCTAGCAAGAAAAAAATTAACCAGGCCATTAAGCAGCACTCCAGTGGATTAACATTAGTCTGTCTCCCTTACACTGCAGGATTTCAAAATCCTTTTGAAGTTTCCGTATTAGAAAATCACTTTCCAAGCCACATAACTTGGAGCTTTAGATGTTTCCTAACAGTTCTGTGGTTGAGGAACAGCTGACTAATCCTTTAGGATTTAATGAGGTTAACTAACATGCACAGCTTTGTAGGGGAGCTGTAGTCAGTGTTTTGGGAACAAACATGAAAAACAGTGACAGTAAGTAGTGTTCTGGAAAGAGCCATTATGGGAGCACAGCATCATTTCAGTAACTTTTGCCAAAGCTTCTTTTCGCTTCAAGGAGCACAGGTTCTGGTCTTGTCCAGTGAACAGCACTATCTGTTTGTAACATCCACTGAAGTCAACAAGATTAGACATTTCTGTTCTCTGGGTTAATTTCTGGTTTGTAGCTTGTTCTCTGCCTGTCCAGTGAACCCTTTCCACGTGTTGGTAGGGCACCAGCAGCCAGTAGCTGTTAGCAGCCAGGGTAGGTGGCAGAGGCTGGGCAGCACAGGGCTGGGACTGGAGCCCATGTCTGGCTGTTTGCCCAGCAGAGCCCAGATCTGTCCCTGGCAAGGTCTGTCACCGAGTCCTCCTTTTGTATGAGCACTTGGGAAGAGGACGAGTCCACAGCGAGGAGCCTAAGCCATCCCAGTGCTCAGGTGCAATGACCTTGTGCTGTTTGTACTTAAGACACGTATATATGGCTATTCTAGGTTTGTTCCTTGAAGTGGCTGTGTCCAGCCTGGGGCTGGAGCATTGCCAAGGAGCAGGACAGCCAGCAACAGCCCCACATCCTTCTCATATCATGAGCATCGAGTGCTTCAGGTGCTGGAGGCTGAACGATGAACTCAATTTGGTATTTACAGAACAGACCAAAGTTGCACGTAATGAGTTGACACATAAATTCATTAGGATGCAATTACAGTGATCACAACTTAGGCTACTCAATTATTTTTAGTAAGAACATGGAATTAACTGCAGATTCACATCAAATGCTGCCTGGTGCCCTGAATCAGGTTCAGAGAACTGGCTTGCACAGGAAAATGCAGCAGTGTTAGATGGGGCTTGGAGCAAGCTGCTCTAGTGGAAGGTGTCCCTGCCCACAGCAGGGGGTTGGAACTGGATGAGCATTAAGGTCCCTTCCAACCCAAACCAGTCTGGGACTCTATGACCTATCAGCGTCCCCAGGACATTCCTCCTGCACAGCCCACACTTCCTCTTGATCATGCTCTTGCTCACACACATTATGGCCTTACTAAAAGCACTCCCACACCCAGTTGTAAGCTATAGGAAGGACAAGGACAAGGAGCAGGAAAGCAGGAGAGTCTCCTGTGCAGAACAAAGAACAGACTTGTCCTGGCTGCATCAGGGATGTGAGCCCAGCACATCAAAATCGCATCGAGTACTATTGCTTCTGCACCATTGCTGCCTCATGATTAACCACCATTAATATTTATGAGTTATTATAGCTGCTTTAGAGAGATCTGTCTGTTAGGGCTCAGAGATCACAGTGGTTGAAGAAGAAAAAAAAACCTATGCGGAACTGCTTGCCCGTTGCTTACTTGTAACTCTTCCCTTCAGCTCACAGGAGCCTGGAGCCAGTGGCAGCGGCTGTTCTGTAGAAGCAGTTTCCTCACCACCTCTTCCACTCATCAATTATTTCATGGGAAGATTTCTTTTAATTACAAGATGGAAAATTCAGCGTGTGAGTATCTTGGTCACCCTCAGGCCTTCGCAGTCCCTGAAAAATACACATTACACAGGTAAAAATGCCCTAGAGAGCAGTAGCCAGGCAGGTGGCATGTGAAAAGAAGGAAGGAAAAGAAAGCAAATCTTTCAGGATTTACTGGGTGCATGAAGCAGGAGGGTAACGTGGGTGTGAGTGGTGTAACAGGACCTGGGAGATGTGGCAGAGTCCTGTATGTTACTGAAGTTAATTTGGTTAATTGTGGTCCCTCAGGCTCCCAGGGCAGTGCCTTGGGGTGCAGGAGTCCTCTCCCTGCTCCTGCCTCATCCTTTCAGGAAGAAGGCTTCTGCAAAGAGCCCCATCTTCCCACATCTCATTTGCAACTGGACTTTTAGCAGACTCCTACGGTCTGCCAAACAATAAATAAGAAGCCTTTACTCTGCAACAGTCAGCTCATTGCTTAAAGCCTAAGTAGCAGCTGATTTAAGAAATGGGGTTGGGAAGGCAGAGCTGCTGCTCGCTGCAGCACGTGGGTGAGCCCCTGCAGGAACGCACAGGCAAGTCCTCAAACACAAACCCTATTTCCAGGCTTGAAGCCATCACTGGGGAGCTTTTCATGTGTGGTGATGAAGCGAAGGCATCTGAAGCATTACAAAAAATGCTTTATTATGGCAAAATCTGGACGTCATCATTTACCTTTGGTTGGGGAAAACTCTGGTTGGGCGGCACAGCAAGGACAGCACCTGCATTCCGCTCCAGCATGGAGCCGCGGGGCAGCCGTGCCCTTCCCAGTGCAGAACAGAGCCAGACATGCCCACAGACTTCACAGGCCAGCGCCTGGGAACCAGGAGGCACCAAACAGGAGCAGGATCCCGTGCTCCAACTTGCAGCAGCCGGAGCTGGGCTGGCAGGGGCAGGAGCACCGCGGGGTTCACGGCAGCTCGGCAGGGTGCACCTGCGGGCGAGCCGGTGCCGGTGCCGCTGAGCCCTTTGTACACCTCTCACTCATGTACTTCCCTGCTGCATAATTCATACCTTTTTAGCAGGAGATAAAAACTTCACAAGTGTTAACGTGCGAGTGTTTATTAACGTGGGGGCTGCCAGACAGACCTCAGATTTGGAAGGAGCTCTTGAGAAAAGAGCCAAAGTCTGTCCTCTGTATGCAGATTTTTCTTGAAAGTGACTGCCTGGTAGGTAAGAGGCTCCAAGTGATTCTCTGGAGGCTGCTGAGCTGCTGCTTCATCCTGGGGCCCCTGAAGAACTCCGAGCATTGGAGAAGCATTAAATAAATAGATCATTTCCTTTACATGAGGCTGGGTGCTGGATGTGCCACATTGTTTGTGTTCCTCTCCTGAACAGAGCGCTAAACCAAGCACAGAACCAAGCACAGACAGGAGATAAGAGCATTCATTCCCACGAGGAGCACGGATAGGATGAAAAACAAGTTTTAAGTCATGTTCCATGCAAGGTTGTTTATAATGCCTGCAACTATTTTTAAACCTAGGAAATGAAGGGCTGCTATAGCTGCAGAGAGCTCTTGAGGGTAGGTGCATTGTGTTATATATCACTGTCAGGTGAACAGGGGCGGATACCCAGTACTCAGCAGCTGGCACAGGGACATTGGTGACATTATCCCTCTCTTGGCCACAGGCACTGCCCAGGCACCTGCTGTTGGGTTGAGACCAACTTTCATGGGGACAATGTCACTGCAAAAAACCTTCCTAAAGTCACTGCTGGGGATAAAAAGGCAGTTTCTGGGTATAAAGGAGGAGCACAGCAAAGCCTGCTGTGCAGTGCTGCCTGTTTGCGTGGACTGGGATGGAGGCACGCTGGGGCAGGATGGCTTTGGAAGCATGAGGCTGGAGGCTGGGTGAGGGCAGCTCCTTGCCAGGCTGGCCTTGGGTGCTTGGGATGGAGAGCAGGGGGTGAAACACTGTGAGGTGCTACAGATCCTTCAGGGGAAGAGGAGGGCGGGACAGGCAGGCAGCCCCTTCTCAGCACCTGTCCCATTGCTGGTGTGCCAGCACACATTAACTCTTGGATGCTGACAGCAGCTATTTTGAACAGCCTTTGACATGATTAAGTGAGAAATCAATTCCCAGAGCCAGAATTTCTCTCTCTAGAGTTTTGGAGAGATCTAAAGCCACCCAAGCTTATGCTGCAGGGCATCACCACAGTGCCTTTACTGAGCAGTACCTTTGCAAAGAGCCTTCCATGTTGGACAGGGCTTGGAGCAAGCTGCTCTAGTGGAAGGTGTCCCTGCCATGGCAGGGGTTGGAACTGGATGAAATATAAGGTCTTTTCCAACCCAAACCGGTTTGTGATTCCATGATGTCTGTGGCCCCTGCAAGGCTGATCCCCATGGCAAAGCTCCCCCACAGCTCAGTCTTGGCTTTCCTCAAGACACACTCTGTCATTTCCCAGAGGTTTGATGTGTGTTCATCAAACTGAAAGGGATTATAAAAGAAATGAATGTCATAAATACCCTCAATGAGTTGGATCTATAAACACTTCCCTGGCACCACCAGTGCACTGTAACATTATTTAAATAATAAGTTAACAGCTTTCGCCTGTAAATTTAAATATCTTACAGAAAAACATGCTGATTACAAGGCAAATATCTTTGCTCTAATTATCTTAATTATGGGGGTTTAATGGCAAGAAGCTGTAGAAATAAAAACACAAGTAAACGGCAGCCTATAATGGTGTTCACTGCACCTGCCAGCACTTCTCCTGTGTTGTCAGGGTAATTAATGCTTTGGTTCCTGTTGAAGGCGAGGAGAGCGGTGGGTTTGCAGGGAGGCTGCCCAAGGAACGTGTACACACACGCCTGTTGCAGGATGCGATGGTGACACACTCGGTACAGCACCCACCCCCACCACAGGGGGACAAAACGGGGCTTTGCTGCGGTGAGCAGCTGCTTTTATAAAATCACAGAACCCCAGACTGGTTTGGGTTGGAAGGGACCTTAAAGCTCCTCCAGCTCCAACCCCTGCCACGGGCAGGGACCCCTTCCACTAGAGCAGCTTGCTCCAAGCCCCTGTGTCCAACCTGGCCTTGAACACTGCCAGGGATGGGGCAGCCACAGCTTCTCTGGGCACCCTGTGCCAGCGCCTCAGCACCCTCACAGGGAAGAGCTTCTGCCTAAGAGCTCATCTCAGTCTCCCCTCTGGCAGGTTAAAGCCATTCCCCCGTGACCTGCCCCTACATCCCTTGTCCCAAGCCCCTCTCCAGGTTTCCTGCAGCCCCTTCAGGCACTGGAGCTGCTCTCAGGTCTCCTCTTCAGGAGCCTTCTCTTCTCCAGGCTGACCCAGCCCAGCTCTCTCAGCCTGGCTCCAGAGCAGAGCTGCTCTGTGGCCTAGCCTGGATTTGCTAAATCAGGTCCCTTTGGAGGAGGGGAGCATGGTCCGACAGGCGCTGCAGCACACTGATATCGTATCAGCCCATGCTCTCCCTGCTTGCCTGCCCGTGCCCCACTGCCAGCCCCATGCTCATCCAAACAAACCCCTCAGACTGTGGCAGAGCCAGCTCCTGCCTGCCCTGGTGATGACCAGCTCAGTGCTGCAGCATATTGAGCCCATTTATTTCTCATCAGTTTGTCCTACCTGGCTGAAGCACTGATGTGAGTGCAGCAACCCTGGAGGAGGGTTTGCTATGGACCAGCTTGGAGGGTGCTGGTGCCTGCTTCTCCAGTGTGTCCAACACTGCTGAGGCAGAGCATTCCTGGAGTTGAGTCCATCAGGACACTGGGCAGGGCCATTTCCAAGCAGGGGACCGAAGCAGGTCTCTGTTTCAGTGGATGGGCACCAGCTCCCTCTTCTGCAAAGACATGCAGAGAAGGAGAATTAATTTCCATTTGCTCTGGTTCAGTCCTAGCAATTGCGTTCAACCTTTTGAGCTCCTGACTCTACTCCATTACCTGAGCCTGACAAACTAATGAATTTCTGTTGATTACTTGTCTGCTCTGCCTCTCCTACCTTATTTTATTCTCATTTTAGCTCCTTATCTTTCTTCATGCTCATTTAACTTCAGCCTGTGAATGGCTTCATCCTTTCTAAGTGGGACTCTATGCTCTGATAGGCTCTTTCTCATCTCTGAGAGCACAAGAAGTAATTACCCACTCGGTCCTATTGCTGGATGCCACAAAGCCCTCTTAGAGAGCAGACTGAACTCACTGGGGAATAATACCTGGCTGATTAGCGGCTAAAATGCCGCAGCAATAGAAGCCCAAGCTGAGGGCTGATGTCTGCAGGCTTTCCTCACTGCATCACCATCCTCAGCAGCACCAAGACACACTGAGTGGCAGACTACTGAGGGATGCTGCATGGGAAACCATGCAGGGACACAGGATTCACTCTGGCACTCACCTGTAGCCATATGAGTAACTGCAGAGGTGCTGGGGTAAAGGCTCTGCAGGAGCAGTGCAAGACAAAGACCCCATCTCTCCCTGCCATAACCTGTGATTATGCAAAGCATAAACCAAAACTAGAGCAGAACCAGGTTTTACTTATGCTCACGTTTAGGCAGGGATGACAGTTTTTGCTCTCCAGTTGTGCATCAACCTGCACAGCCTGGGCACATGAAGTACCCAAACAATAGAGATGGTGCAATTTCAGACTGCAGTCCTGGTCTCGTGGCTGCACATTATGAGACTCCTATCTTTTCCAGCATTTGCTGGGTAACCTGCTGTCCTGGCCAAGCTTAGGTTTATTCTTGAATTACCAAAGGTGCTTAATATCTAAAACTCAGCAAATCTCAGCACTATCTATTTACACTCAGCTGAACGGGGACAGTATTTTTCCTGGTGAGATATTTGAGAAGTGCATGAAATCAAACAGGCAAAAGGTTAAGTCTATTATTCAGAAAGAAAACCCCAAACCAAGCCCCAAACCCCACTGCATGGCAACAAACGCAGCGACACTCACAGCCAGGGACCCACAGAGTTTTGTCCTCCAGATGAGTATCACAAACCTTCTTAGAGGTTCCTACACATCAGTTTGTAACATCACATCCTAGAAAACAGCTTCCCCAGCACTTTTCCTTGAGCTCTTTAGCTGCACTGCTGGCAGCAGGAGCAGGGCTGGTGCTGTGGTCCGGGATGGTATTGGCTGTACATTGAGAGACTCATGGAATGGTTTGGGTTGGAAGGGACCTTAAAGCTCACCCAGCTTCAACCCCTGCCAGGGGCAGGGACCCCTTCCATAGAGCAGCTTGCTCCAAGCCCCTGTGTCCAACCTGGCCTTGAACACTGCCAGGGATGGGGCAGCCACAACTCTTTTACTTGGCTGAGATGTGCTTGCTGTGATTAAACCTTCACCTAAGAACTCTTGGAAGCTTGCAAAACATTGTTCATTACCCTACACCCAGGATTTCTGGAATATCACTGGAAACCTTCATGGTCCTTTCACAGGTAAAGCCAGAAAGCAGCTTTTATTAATGAGACCCCAGCACTGACTTCCTGTGTATCCGTGACATTCTGCTCTGGCATCTTGTTCATCTGGATGGCGAGTGTCCTTGCCTGGTCCTCAGCACGTCGTGGGGCTCCTTTGTTCCACTTGCCTGCAGAAATGCCTCCTGAACAGGGTCCCTGCGCTCAGCCTTGCAGTGCATTTTGAAGCAAGGCAGTGCACTGGGAGAGCAGACTGCCAGGCAGGTTTCAGCTTGGTTTTCTTTCCTCTCTGGACATATGGCTACAGGAAATCTTTGAAGATCTTGAAGAGAAAAAGTGTGTCCCTTTGAATTCCTAAACCACCGGCATCTCTAAGAATAGCCTCCAAAGGGAGAGGGAAGATGAATGACATGAGGAATTCAGCACCTTTCCTTACTGTGCAGTCTTCTTGAAGAGGAAAGGGAATAGCCAGTCACGCTGAGGACATTCGGAGGAATGTGCTATTATGTAAAGTGAGCCAAGGAAAGGTTAGCAAATACCACTGCTTCCCTGGGGAGCCCTTCTCTTGCAGGAGTCATTAGTGCATTGGCAGGATAACAGATTCTTTCCACTAATTCTCTAGTTCATAAGCAAATTAAGACAGAAAAGCTGATCCTCCATCAATGTACGTTAGGCCCAGGCTCGCAGCTCACCTGCCTGGGAGCTGCTTTATACTGAAAGGTCAGGACTGGAAATATCAAAGTCTTGCCATTAAATCAAGCACATTTTCTTGGTAGCTCAGTGATGCTGGGCCAAGGGGCACTGTGGGACTACAGGGCTGCAGGATCAGGCTGTTGCTGGTGCACCTTTGGCTGGGACCACCACACCGTTACCCTTGTCCTATCACTATGGTCTCCAATGAAGAGTCCCTCCTCAGCATCCCTATAGCCCCCCTATGAGGTCTCCATGCAGCTCCTCTTCTCTAGGCTGAACAGTCCCAACCTTCTCAGCCTATCTTCATACGGGAGGTGCTCCAGTCCCTGATCATCCTCGTGGCCTCCTCTGGACTTGTTCCAACAGTTCCATGTCCTTTTTATGATGAGAACACCAGAACTGTACACAATGCTCCAAGTGAGGTCTCACGAGAGCAGAGTTAGAGGGGCAGGATCACTTCCACCCCTCGGCTGATGGAGGTGGGGCAGAGGCTTCCCTGGGAGCAGCCCAGGTCTCTCCCTGTGTGGGTGCAAAGTACTTTCCATAACCTACAATGTAAACTGCTTGGTGAGATTAAAGCAACCTGCTCCTGGGGGGGAGTTCAGCACTGGGCTGGAGCTTCTCCCTTGCATGGACACAGCACTCCGTGGATGAGCTTCCTGGGCACAGTGGTGTGCAGGGAGAGCCACCTCCTCCACCAGAGCCATCCATGGGAATTGCCTCTAGTGTGAACACCTGACAAGCCCCAGGTCTCTGCAGGGACCCAGCTTTGTGTGGGGTGCTCCTGGACTTCCACCAGGCTGGGTCAGCAGAAGGGAGCTTTGGGCTCTGCCTGCTCCTGTTGCCCTTGTCCCATCCCATAGAAGCACTTTGCCCCAAGAGCTGTGTCCAGACTTCAGGCCAGCGGCCGTCTGGGCCTCTTGCTGTGTCTCAGACCTTGTGCCACAGGGGGAGCAGGGAGCTGGCAGCCCCGAAAGCATCCTGCTCCCATCTCCCATCTGCCCTCCATCCACCACCGACCCAACCGCAGCACCCAAGGGACGTGGCTGTGAGACCACAGGGAGCTGCATCCCGACAGCACCTGGACCTCCTGTGCACGGGAACGTGCTGCAGACCCAGGGTCAGCAGGCACTGGCAACTCCTTGCCTCTCCCTGGCATCACAGGGGTCCCGCCTGGGAGGTGGCACTGGACAAGCTTCATGCAAGAGCATTGCTGCATGGCTGCTTTCATGAGGAAACACATTCACTTCTTCCTCCCAGCTCTGGGGGTCACCTTGTGTTCACGCTGCAGCAGGACACAGCCCAGGCGCAGCAAACCCTGCGGAGCAGCAGAGCCAGCTTCAACCAGAAACGCTGCCTGGGAACCCTCCAAAGTCACATCTGCAGCGAACAAAAGCACCCCCCTGCATGCAACACAGCCCTTCAAATCCTGCCTTTAATCTCAGGTTCCACTAACAACCTTCTTCCCGTCCTGTTCCTTGTCTTACAATTGACATCGCAATATTAAATTCCTAAGAACTAAAGTGCTTTGGAAACATAACCTACTTACAGCAGACAGGATTTACAGTGGAAGTATTTACTTTCTAGGTCTTGATGCTATCAAAGTCACTGATGCCTGATTAGCAGCACCTTGAAAGAGGCCTCCAGACACACAGTTGGGTTGGCATTTGCCAGGCACCATTTGCAGGCGAAAGCCCTGCTGATGACGGGCAGCCTTCCAGAAGTTCCTGTCCTCTGAGCCTTTGGTGCTGGCTTTGGCTGGGCTGCCATTTCAGCACTCAACCTGCAGAAAATGCCTTTGCACTGCAGGGAAAGGAGGGCAGCCCTTTGGGAGTAACAGCAAGACTGCAGTGGGGCAACAGCTGAGTGCCTGGGTACAGTCTGTCCAGCCAAACAGTGTGAAAGGAAAGCACAATCAGCCACACGCTGGGTAAATGCTGCCAGAGCTGACCAGCACACGCCACTGCAGTGACCTGCCCCAGAGGGGGACCACATGGTGCTGACCCCACCACCCCACAGCAACATCCAGCCCGGTCTGCTTCTCCAGAGGCACTACAGCAGGCCCTGGCTGAGCCCCTCATCCTGTGCAGCAGGTGACAGCCCCATCATCACCCCCCCTATGGCTCCTGGCTCTGTTGACCCTGAAATGCTCACAGTGCTTAAAAAGGCTGCAGGAAACCTGGAGAGGGGCTTGGGACAAGGGATGTAGGGACAGGCCAAGGGGAATGGCTTTAACCTGCCAGAGGGGAGACTGAGATGAGCTCTTAGGCAGAAGCTCTTCCCTGTGAGGGTGCTGAGGCGCTGGCACAGGGTGCCCAGAGAAGCTGTGGCTGCCCCATCCCTGGCAGTGCTCAAGGCCAGGTTGGACACAGGGGCTCGGAGCAAGCTCTTCCAGTGGAAGGTGTCCCTGCCCGTGGCAGGGGATGGAGCTGGAGGAGCTTTAAGCTCCCTTCCAACCCAAACCATTCTCTGGTCCTATGAGACCCTCCTCCTGCTGCCAGTCGCAGACACCAGCGCAACTGTGGGGCTCCTCCAGCCGCTGCCCGAGGTGCAGAGGCTGCTGCATGCGGCCTTAGCACTGTGGGATCACTGCTACGCAGCTGGAGCATCCAGGAGCAGCTCAGACATAAACCAGGAAATCTTTCCACCGCTGCAAGCAGCAAGGCTCGAGCCAGGCAGGCAGCAGGAGTCCTGGTACACATTTCTGCCTGGCCTCATCCCTGATCATAAATTGCTGTGCTAATCTCAATGGAGAGGCATTAACCTCCACTCCTGAAACAAGGTGCAATTAGTTGGGCATAAAAGAACACTGAATTGATGCTAATTACTCTCCAAAAGATGAACAGAGTTAAGCCAGAGAAGCAGAAAATTACCTCTGTGGGAAATCAGCTTCAGAGTTTAAAGGAAAGCAGAGGTGGTGGCTGGACGGGCACCACGAGGTTCAGCACTGCTTCTCCTCCTGCCCATCTCCAAACAGGTCACAAGCCCTATGCTGGCTGGGCAGGAGCCCGGGCACCACGGGGGGGTCTCCATCCCAACCCATCACCCTTTAGCCATGGGCATGGCCATGGCCACCTGCTATTGGACAATGTGGGCAGGAGGATGCTGTGCAGCTGCAGCATCTCAACCCCAAAGTGAACAACCTGCCTTTTAACAACAGTTCACAAGCACTTGGACTGTCCCATTTGGTTTAACTCCTAGAAACCACCCAGAGTTTTATTACTTTTATCTATTCCCTATTCATTTAGCAGTATCCCAGGAATCTGCTCCTTTCCCATCTATCCCACAGCTTCCTCCCTACCATATCACAGCACTCTGCTGGTCAGTAACTGCTTCTGCTAACAGCACGTAATGCATCACTGACAAACTCCCCATTGCACAAGCCTGGAGCTGGGCAGCAGCCCTGTGGATGGGCTGAAACCCTGCTACCAGCCTCCCTGGAAAGAGAGGGCTCCTCCAGATTTGCCACCAACCCACCACCCCCAGCCCATGCCCCACCAACCCTGCCCCATGGGGTGCTCCTGCTGCGTGAAGGGTCCCCCAGCACATGGGATGGTGACAGGACTCACACAACAAACTGGGGTCTGCTCTCCTGCAGCCATGAAGGAATCTGTCCCCAGGGCAGCACAGCAGCCGCTTGAGTCCAAGCCACTTCTGCCTTCAAATCCTTCACTTGCAGAGGTCAGCTCCGCCCAAAGCAACCTGAAGCATCTGCTGGGTGCTAGAAAGCAAAGAGGACAGCCTCAGGGCTGTGTGTGACCAACACGTGTGGCAGAAACGTGCCACGGACACCTCCGGTGACAGCCTCTGTGCAAGTGCTTTATGGGACTTTCAAGGCTGAGCAGTCAAGGTGAGGTGATGCTCTTCCTTCAGATCAAGGCTGAGCAGCCAAGGCAAGGTGATGCTCTTCCTTCAGATCAAGGCTGAGCAGGCAAGGTGAGGTGATGCTCTTCCCTTCAGATCAAGGCTGAGCAGCCAAGGTGAGGTGATGCTCTTCCTTCAGATCAAGGCTGAGCAGTCAAGGTGAGGTGATGCTCTTCCTTCAGATCAAGGCTGAGCAGTCAAGGTGAGGTGATGCTCTTCCCTTCAGATCAAGGCTGAGCAGTCAAGGTGAGGTGATGCTCTTCCCTTCAGATCAAGGCTGAGCAGTCAAGGTGAGGTGATGCTCTTCCCTTCAGATCAAGGCTGAGCAGTCAAGGTGAGGTGATGCTCTTCCTTCAGATCAAGGCTGGTGGCTGCACTCAGGACAGGCCTTCCCAGCACATCCCATTCAGGACTGGGTTTCCCCCAGAAAAAGCTGGGGGTTGCAGAGGGGTTTGTCCTGCAAACCCACCCGCCTCTGAGAGCTCGAGCAGCTTCAACCCTGTCTGTTCCTCTCAGTCCCGTGTAGCTCCTGGGACTCTTAACAGTAATTTACAGCCTGTTTTACCCAGCTCTCAATGGCAAGAGGCTCGGGAAGCTGTCTGCTGGGGTCTGGAGGCAGGCACCTACCGGGATGGCTTTGACATGGATGCAAACACTCCCGAAAAGTGAGACCCAAGAGCTGAGACCTCCAGAGCCTCCTGCTTTCCCCGCTGCACGCTGAGTTTGCAGGTTCAAACCTTCATGTTCCCATTGAAGCTACTCCTGGATTTGGGAAAAGCTCATGGAATACGCTGTGGGAACTAAAGCTTTTAAAAGGCAACCTGAACAGCAGTCCTGGAGCAATCTGCTTCCAGCTACCGCTGCCCCTGGCTCTCCCTGCTGCACAGGACTTGCTGTGCCTGCAGCACAGGCTGTTTGCTCCAGCTGGGGTTGGAATGCTCTTGCCATGCAGACGATGCATTATATTTCCCAGGCTGACGTGCAGCTGATTCAGAAACAAGATTTAGCAGCACAAAAGTACCGCTTGCTCTGGTGGCTCCCCACACCCCCGTGGCTCAGCTTGGCTCGTGCTGCATCTGCAGATTCCTGCCCAATCCGTCACCAAAGGGCCCTGAGCCCGCAGCCTCAGCCCTATCCCAGCTCGCGGAGCTCTGCTCCCACTGCCATTGGGATGCGGCCCACAAGGGATTTAGGATTGCAGGAGACAAACCAAGCAGGAGGAGGCCCACACCAATGCCTTCAAGGCATTGCAGCGAGTTCGGTGCATACAAAGAGCCTGGATCACACAACCAAAGCCTTTTTGGATGACGTTCCCAAGGGATGTCGGCCCACCCTGCTCCATCTCACCGGCTACAGATCGCTGCGTGGCTGCACTGGAGAGAGGCAGAGGGAAGGGATGAGCATTGGCTATGTCATTACTGACAAGGGAGGGTATGAAACATGCACAGGAAGATACAGGCACTTCCTGCAAAGCCTGTATCCCGTTGGTACTCCCTGCCTGGATCCCTGTGGCTGGCCAAGCTTCCCCCACCAGGAGCTGGGTCTGCCCTGCTCCTCCATCCAGCCAGGCCAGTGATGGCCAAAGCAGTGCCTGGTCCTTTGTGGGGCACTTTGTGGTCAGAAACAGTTCCCTCCAGCTGAACAAAGCCAGAGGATCCACGATGATGCCAAGGAATTTTTAGCAAGCCATGGGAAGCATCAATTGCTTTGCAAAGGGGCGACTGTTCATAGAGCAGAGAGTAACCGGAGCTCATCAGCAGATCAAGATCTGCCCTGGGAATGGGATATCAGCTCTCAGAGGACCAGGGTCCTCACCCCTTCCCAAACAGCCCTCCCATACCCTGCTCTTCTACCTCCATTCCCAGGCCCACTTATCCCATTGGGCTGTTAACCAGCATCAACCAGCACTCCTTTGGGGCAGGGCCAAACCTCACCATGGCTGAGACCCTCTGAACACAGCCATGGGCCAGGGACACCCGTGTCTGGCTCCCAACATCCCCAGTGAGCTCTTGTCACCTCCATCACACCTGCACCTGCAGCCCCTGACACGTGCACGCACACACACACACACACACAAGCTGCTCCTGGAATCGCTGCCCCTCCTCTGCAGCAGGGAGCTGGAACGTGCTCTAAACACACATAAATATTTCATGGGCAGAGAGAGAGGTTTTGCCATGACCCAGTTTTCTTTCCCCCAGACACTGGGTTGGCACCTAAGGGGATTGCATGGGGCAGGAGCGTGGCCAGTGACATGAACAACGCCCTTGGTGCTCATAGCAGTCCCAAACCAGGACAGGACATTTTCACTGCCTAATGCCTGGTCCTCTCAGGAGCTCAGTTTCTGCCTTGGTTCTATCTGAGCCAAGGTGGATACACTCCTGTGGATGCCCCACTACTGCTCTGTGATGGGAAGGTGGGAAGTGGATGCCCCATTTCCCTTTGAGGTGCAGGAGGAGCAGCTGGGACGCTCCAGGCAGGATCAGCCCCTTCACTGCAGCAGGGAGCTACATGGTGCCCACCAAGAGCATCCCAGGCTCAGCACCCACCTCGACCTTGGCTCTTCTCCCCAGGGGCAGGGTGACCTCCCCAGGAGCACCGGCAGGGCTGATGGTGCTGCTCTCCTGCTCCAGCACGTGGCAGAGTCGCATCCTCCAAAGGCAGCGCTGCCTTATCAATAATAAAAGGCAATTTCCCCAGACAGAGCCAGGAGCTGACGCAGCCCTCATCTGCTGCTGACAGGACGGGAAGAACTTTAATAAGATGTGATTTGACAGGAACACAAAACAACAACAGCATTAAAGGAAGAATAATGGCAAAGGCAGCTGTCAAAAACCTCATGTTCCCTAAGCAGGGGAGAGAAATCAAAGCTGTCAGGTCCCAGCAGAGGAGTGAAGGGCAGCTGAAAGGGAGGGCAGGACTGAAGCGGGCAGCAGGTACCACTGCCCATGGAGGGACCCGGCCACCACAGGAGCTCAGCTTTGGGCCAGGGAGAACAAGGGGATCCTCTGCAGCATCAACCTGGTGGAGACCCCAGTGTCACTGCAGCCAGCTCAGCACCACATCAACTCCATGGCCAAGGAACCCAGGGGAGGGAGAAGCACCACTGTGCGCTAGGGGCAGGGGGGCAAGTAACTCTCCACATCAGTCATGGTGTGCATCAGCCTGCACCACACACGAAGGAGCTGCTGCAGGGATGGGACCTGTCACCCTGATGGCTGCAGAGGGAGATGGAGATGGGCCAGATGCTTCTGCATCAATCTGTGTGAACACAAGCCAGATGACATCTGGTGGGGTTGAAAGAGAGAGATGAAAGGTATCCAGAGGAGCTGGGCTCTGTGCCACCCCCATGACCGGAGGTCTGTGGGCCAGGAGGTCACAGCAAGGATTCAGGCACAGTGTGGCAGTCCTGGGGCACCCACAGGAGAGCAGGGACCACCAACCCCACGGAGATGGCACTGCCGAGAAGAAGGGACACATCTCAGGCAGTGCTGGGGTCCTTTGACTCAGCATGGCTGCAAGAGCCAAGCAGGATGCAGCAGTGATTCCTGGTGGTCTGTTTCCAGAGCCCACTCTCCCCCCAGGCTGCATCCAGGGCAGATGCATCCCTGCTCACACCACCGCAGTGCAGCTACATCGTGGGGCAGCAGAGCCTCCACCAAAAACTTCTCTGGATCTGGCTGTGTTGGAGCATGCAAGGGCAGGGAGGGCCTGTATGATGCTACCAGCCCCCTGGAGCTGCTGCTGCTCCAAAAGCCAGTCAATAAAACTCAGTGAAGGGCTTGCTAATGCGTACACCCAGGAAGACAAACAGGGCTTAATGAAGCCTTTCCTTTAAAAATATGGGGTTTAATTTAAATGCAAATTGGGTGCTGTGTTACGTGCAGGTCACCTGCGGTGACACACGGCTGAACTAGCAGGGATGAGCCTCATGAAGTGTGGGCAGAGAAAGGTGGGCCCTTTCCTGGGCATTTGTATCCTGCTCTGCAGAACAGCTCCTCGCTCTGCTCAGCCAGTCCTTTCCTAAGCCAAGCACGCTGCCAGGGATGCTCTTAGCAGGCTATTTGCTATTAATCGAGTAGGGCACATTTATTCCTGTATCCTGCAACCCCCCTTTTGGCATGTCACAAATCACAGCCCACCGCTCGATAGATGCGCCTGCAACATCCAGCATCAGGCAAAAGGGTATCAACAGTAAATCTGAGCAAGGATGAGGGAGATTTCTCTAAATGCTGGGGTGAATTACATATATAAGTCTTCAGAAGAGACATTAAGCCTAATGTGAAATCAAACCTTCAAAGTGATGAGCAGAGCCGTTATCCCCTGCGTTACGCACAAGTTATGTGCAGGAGGATCTCATTTAGAGAAAATCTGCTTTTGCCAAGAGAGATGAGTTGGAATCCAGAGCCCTGATCCCTGCATCAGCGCTCTGGAGAGGGAGCTTTAACCCTTCCCTAAGCCCTGCTCTGCCTCTTGCCACTGCTGCCCACTGCACACGGACCCCCCAGTGCGGGCATGGAGCTGGGTCCCCCTTGGCCACAAACGTGATGCTGGTTGTGACCTGGCTCCGTGCAGCACCAGGATCCCCCGCCAGGACTCAGCTCACCCCAAAGGGGTGGGAAGATTCTCCCCCCTCCTGCTCTGCTGTGGCCACACCGCGGTCGGTCCATGTGCTTCCCTCTGCAGGAGGAGCCAGCAAGCAGCGTGCAATAAAACCCCTGTTATGAGCCATTATCAGAGGGAAGTGGAAGCAGAGCAGCAGTGACCCTGCAGCAGTGGCCCTCAGGGCCTGTCAATAAATGCTCACAGTTTAATCAGCCTATGTCCCTGCACAGAGCAAATCAATAGTATCTCACTGGGAGAAAATGAGATAAACAGGAGCCTTTAAAGTGCTCCATTCCCTGCAAATATAAACCCCAGCCCAGGACTGCCCCACAGGCACAGGGAGAGAAGTCCCTCGATTAAGTGGTTGTCCCTTCTCTGGTTCTGTTTCCAATCCTGACTGGCTCCATGTGGCAGGAATGAGAAGACCCAGAAGCAGCTGGGTCAGACACAGGCAGGAAAAGCAGGGAGCCCAGGGCCTGGCTCTGCCCAGCGTGTGCTGGGTCTCTGGGGAGATGCTCTCCTCCTCCCTCAGGATCCATGCCCACGTACAATCACCCACCCTCCTAAAAGCACTGGGAACCTCCACTCCAGCATGCAGGCAAGACACAATGGGAACCAACAACCATTTGCTCACCTGGGGATCCAGACAAGCCATCACGGTGCATCCATGTGCTCAACGCTGCCCACACCAGCAGACATCCGTGTGTGCTCTGTGCCATCGCCGCCCAGCACTCCCATAACATCTGGCTTCCCAAGGTGAGGTACCCAGCTTCCTGCTGCTGGTTTTTCCAGTTAGCTACTTCAGGCCAAAGGCTACAAAAAATAGGATTTAGAGTTTATTGGTTCCCTATCCTCTTGTCCGCCTATAAATGCCTCCATTCATTCTGAAAAAGGATCCCGTGTCTCTTCCAGCTTCCTATGTGTAGTGAGCAGCAGCCCAGAGCCTGGGGTGGGGTTCTGGCACAGGCCTGCCTGCCCAAAGCTGGAGCTCTCACAGTCCCAACGGCTGCCTTCTCTCCCCATCTCCACTATTTGCTTATTCCCTTGTTGAGCACATACCCCGAAGGACCTGAAACATCTTGATTTGGTAGATGGTGAAGCCATCACCCCACAAAGAGAGGTGACCTTTCCAATTGGGAGCCTGGAGGGACCCCAGGGACAGAGAGGGCTGTTTCCAGTGGGAGCCCCTCACCAGGGCTGTGGCAGCTTGGAGAGGTGGGCCCAGCCCCAGCTCTCTGCCCCCTTCCCCTGGTTGTCACTGGGTCACCAAAGCCATCACGGTGACAGGCGGCACCACTGCTGAGCCTGGAGACTCATGTGAAGGAGGCAATCTCCTGAGGGAGAGGAGGAGCAGAGGAGAATCTGGCAGGCAGGAGGGAAGGTGGTTTAATGAGGTATCCAGTATGTTCAACTCCTGAAGGATTAAAGCAAGGAAGGGATAGGATCTTCCATAAAAAGTCAGTCATTAGCGAAGCCCCAGGGTAGATGCAATTGTTTTCTGTTTTTTTCCCCTCTTTGATGACCCAGTTTTTTTAATCTCATCAGTGCCAGGCTTGTGTTAATTTTTAAAGATGCTTGGGTAACTGAGAACATTAACTATTCATGATCTTATCTTCAATAGGTGTTTGCTCGCTGACACCCAGCCAGGCTTGAGATGTACCTAAGGAACCAGGGAGCTGAACTTACCGGGGAAGGCAATAGCTGGTTTTTCCTGAGCATCTTGTTGAAGTGATCACAGGCTGGGTGGGGTTCACAACACTCCCGGGTAAATCAGGGCTCCTGGGGCAGGCTGGTATCACCAAGGCCATCCCTTGCAATTGCAGTGCCTTGAAAAGATGTAAGAGCACACAGAAGGCTGAGGGCTGGGGAATGCTGTGGACACCGAGGGTGCTGCAGCTGTGGTCCCCTGGGAAGCCCTAAATCAGTTTGCAAATCCAAGGGAAGCCTCCAGAGCTGGCTGGAGGTGGCAGCCAGGTACAGCCCAGGTTAGCTATTAGCACAGATCAGGAATGTGAGCTGAAGAACAGATGGAGAGCCCTTGAACTCCTATGAAGGGAGCCAACAGACATAATGACATTTAAAATCATTGAATGGTCTGGGTTGGGAAGGACTTTCAGAGCTCATCCGGTCCAACCCCCCTGCAACGAGCAGGGACATCTTCCACTAGACCAGGTTGTCCAGAACCACATCCAGCCTGGCCTGGAATGTCTCCAGGGATGGGGCACCCACCACCTCTGGGCAAGCTGTGCCAGGGTTTTCCCACCCTCATTGTAAAGAATTTCTTCCTCACATTCAACCTGAATCTCCCTCTTTAAGTTTAAACCCATCACTGCTTGTCCTGTGGCAACAGGCCCTGCTCAAACGTCTCTCCCCATCTTTCTTATAGGCCCTTTTAAGTACTGAAAGGCCACAATAAGGTCTCCCTGGAGCCTTCTCTTCCCCAGGCTGAACAACCCCAAATCTCTCAGCCATAATTTGCCTGGCTTTGCTTTCTGGGTGTTCCAGTGTATGTCCCCAGGGTACGACACACTCCCCTGGGTGTGGGAGCAGCCACAGGCCACAAGGAATTGGGCAGCGCTGCCAAAGTCACCACACACTGCTGCAGGGAACCGAGCACTGACCCAAGGTGAGGCTGCCAGGCAGAGGAGCAAAGGTGGGAAAATACCAGAGCATGAACTAGCACAGGGATAGAAATAACCATGCAAAGGAACAGAAAACTTACACTGGTTTCAGGAGGGCTGGGAGCTGGACAGGTAGAAGGCACAAACCTCTCCCTGCTTGCAGTGGGTACGTGGGACATGCTCTCACCAACTCACTTGTGCTGATAGCTTGTTCCTGGGAAGAAGATGTTGGTACTTCCAAGGGTCCGACCATCAGGACTGAGATGGGAACACAGAATCAGGAATCTCCTGGCCCCGGAGGCAGCAGCACCGTGGGAGAAGTAACAGCATCTTCAGGAAAGGGCACAGGGTGTTTCTATGGGAAAACAGGAAAGAATCACAGAGTCAGAGAAGGCTTCAGGCTGGAAGGGACCTCCGAGGTCACCTTGTCCCACCCCCTGCTCAAGCAGGGGCACCCAGAGCCACATCCAGAAACCAACTTGGACTGTGCTTTATCCCCCTGTGAAAATTAAATATCATAGAACAAAAATGAACGACTTAACTTGCAGCTAACACCAGATGCTCAATGTACATAGCTTTTTATTGACTGAAGGTATATTACAATAGACAAACGTATATTACACATGCTATACAAAATATACATTCTTATGTGGAAAACAAAAAGACATAAATAGACATTAGGCAATAGCAACAGAGCACAAGGGCAGCTTTGCCCACGCTCTCTCATGAACCCCCAGCTCCTGGTGCTTTGGCTTTGATTGAAGAAACTGGTTGTGTTTAGTGGGAACAGTGGAGGTCCTGTCTGTACCTCCTGCAGAAAAGAGACCTGATTTCCTCTGCAAGTCTGCTCAGAAAGTTTCTCCAACAATGCTAAGCACAGCAAAGTGTTCACCTACTTACAAGCTTCAGCTATTTACAACCAGCTTATGGACTTGAAAGAGATATCATTGCTCATGGGAGGATGCAAATGTCCTAATACATAACAGCAAGTTTTATAGGCCAGTACCTCACAGAAATGAATGCAGCTTTGGCTCCTGGTGCAGGCAGCATGGATTTTAAAGCCTTGGTCCTGGCCAAGCACATCTTACCTACCCAAAGGGAATTCAATCGCAGTAGGGAGCTGTGCCCAGCGCACACCTGAGGTCCACATCAGCAGCTGCACTGTGACAGATCTGTGTCAGCTTCAGCTCCACAGGAGAGGGGGATGAAAGGAAAAGTAACAAACTTTACCATTTGCCAAAGGGTGACGGGAGACAGAGCAGCAGGAGGGTGCTGGTGGGAATCCTGGCTCTGCACACGCTGAGCAGCACTTAAGCCACTACAGCCTGGGATGATAGCTGGAGAAGGCAGTGAACAGCCCAACGGATGAGGCTTTTCTGCTGCTGTAGTTTCATGGCATGACCTTTCTCATCTGGATTTCAACTGACAGTACTGGCTTCCTGCAAGAGAGAACTTTGGACTGAAATAAGCACCATGTCTCAGATGCTGTCTGGAAAGGAAAAGGCCAGAGGAAATAGAAACCAGAAAGGAATGAACTGAAGATTCTTCTTTTTGGCATGTATGTTATTACAACATTCCAGGTGTCAGAGCCCAAAAAGAGTTTAACACACCTGTGCTCTCTCTTCTTTATCCAGAGGTCAAGGACAATTGGATCCTCTTCCTACTAAAGCTGCTGGCTATCAAAGCAACCACGGTTGCTTTAAGAGCATGTTAAAAGCCCTTGATAATACTTGCTCATTTGTATAGATCTGACTCTTATTCATGACCAAAGAGCAGTGGGGAAACAATCATTATTCCCAGTTGTCCCTCACTCATTTACTCAAATAATCCACAGTCTCACAAGTTTCAGCTGTGATTCTGCATGACTGCATCGGATACTCCAGCCATGCCCCCTTCCACCGAGGAATGGACTGGTGGGAAGCCTTACACAACTGGTCAGAAGAGGGGTTTTGGTCTTTGTAAGTATATAAAATACACCACATGGCTGTTTCCATTTCAGTTCCTATCCTACAGCTTGGAAAAATGCAACAATGACCACGGAAAGAGCTCCTTGCTCTTCAGGAGTGAGTACACGACCTAATGTTGAAGCATTAGCACTGAGCACAAGGTACCTGCTGAAAACCCATTCCTGATGAGTAACACCTCCTACACAAAGGGGCATTTTTTTTCCAGGAAGTCTTTATGCAGAGGAAACAGAAAATCCATAGCATAGTTCACTAAATACTTAGCAACTGCTTTCCCCATTCATCTGATGCTTTCCATCACAACATTCCTTTAAAAAGTTCCCTTAACTGCCAGCTAGGAAAAAGACATGGAGACATCTGCAACACACACAATACACAGGCTGCTTTTTAGATAAAAGCTTAGATAAACTCCTGAAACAAACCACTCAGACTTCCCATTTTACCAGGGAACCAGGAGGAGACACGTAGTGCACTGCCCCTTTTGTTTGCTTTTGACAAGAACCTCTCAGAAGCTGGATACTACAGCCAGGAGTACCAGAATAACACTGCTTCTTAATGCAGGGTCTGTTGGGCTTGTCACTCTACTGGACAAGACAGGTGCCCAATACAGAGATTTAAGGACTTTCTCAACACTTAAACGGATCAAACTTGGAATTCTGCTCTGTCTCGAGATGGAGCAGCTTGCAGTCAGCTCAGCCAGGCTCAATGCATGCAGAGCTGTACAGAACAATGCAATTCATCAATATCACAGTTTCACCACGTATCTATAGTAAATTCACTGCTTTCCAAACCAAAGACAGCTCTATCCCCTCAGAAACAAGCTTCTAGTCCCACCAACAACCCCCGTATGGCTTGATATACAGGTGTCCACAGTAACAGTATGATACAGACTTTGGCATAATAAAAAAATCTATTTACATTACAGCCAACACATTTATATGCTTAGTGTATACAAAATATTTATAAATGCAAATTTATTTACAACTAGAGTCCATTATTCAGAGGAGAAAACAAGACCCGAAGTCAGACTGGTGACAGGGGCCTGCTAACAGCCTAAGGAACATAAAGCTGGCCAAGAATTTTATGCTTACAGTTACTGGAGAATTCCATGAGGAGGGCCTGAACATTGGTTTTCAAGCAGACAATGCAGTGGGAAATAGCTATGCATCCTTGAGGGATTTTTCAAAGCATGCACCAACACAAAGGCTGCTTCCAGCATCAGAAAATCCTCGTTTTAATGCTATTGTAGATAGCACTCATCATCCATGTGTTCTGTTACACATTCCCATCATCCAATCCACAGAAATCCAGGGGAAAAGGGCACATGCCACCTCCTCCTAGACAGTCTGTTTAGCCAGTCCGTGACTGCAGACACACGTACACAAGCATCTTTGGCCTTGGGGTTAGTCCTGAGGTAGTAAATACAAGAAGTCAGTCAGTACAGATTTGCTTTCAAGACTCCATTCGAGTGCCTTACGTGGTTTCACTATAGTCATGAATGCTGCGTGTCCTCTTAAAATCAAAGCTCCGCTCCCGGCCGCGGGGACAGGCTCCGGATGGAGCCGCCTGCTCCCGGCTGCTGGCAGCAGCACCCTCGCTGTGGGGAGGCCGTGGGGTCTCCCGGCCTGGCTGCTGATGCAGGAAGTGGGAGTGAGGGAGAGCCACGTCTTTGTTCACTCCCCATAGAGGGAGCTGGAAGGGTTCTGGGGAAGAGAAAGGAAGAAATCAGAAGATGAAGAGGAGTTAGTTCCTGCTAAACACAGCCAAATTTGAACACAGATTCCCAGAGTCACGCAGCTCCAGTATCTGTCTGAGGTTATTTTCTCTTTTCCAACCCTACCCATTCTGTGATTCTATGAGTCTGTGTTCTATTGGATGCTCTCCCTTTTCAGCAAGCTGTTACAGCAAGCAGAAAACAGCACACAGAGTGTCGTTTCAGTGTGAACTTTGAAAAGGCTACCTGGAAGAAAGTCAGCATCAATCAGTGTACCAAAAAATAAAAGCATCTTTTGGAGCTCTCTGAAAAGCAGGCCAGCTCAAACAGAAGGCCTGTTGGAATTTCTCAGCGAAGCTCTTGGCTAACAGATGCCCTTGAAGCACGTGTAAAAGATCACATTCCACAAGCTTTTAGAGACGAACTGCAGATTAAGAAATACCATCTTTTTCACATCACCCTCTTCAACTGTTGGGTACTGGATGCCAACTGAGGGCCAGTTCTGAGAACATTAAAGACGTGAGTTACTCACAAACTACAGTCACTAAAAGAATTAGCTGTGTGTTAACAGGGAAGGGTAGCACAAAGAAGACTAGAGTTATCAGGGAATACAAAGCAACAAAAGGAAAAAGAGGACACTCACCACTGATCTGCTGGGAGGAGATTTTCTTTTCACTCATTTTGTCATGGTTGGTAAGGAAGACAGACATGTCTCTGTCTGCTAAGAGATTATCCAAAGTACTGGTTTCATGCTGGGGGCGTGCTGTATACGTTTCCTTAGACATCTGCACCATGAGGTTAGGGAGAGTTTGATCCAGGGGGTCTTCTTCTGCGATGTAGGCATAGGGACAGTACTCTCGTGTCCTGGAGTAGATGTTTGCATTGTCGTAACAGTCTGAGCAGATCACCAGTGGTGCTGCACCACCTGATAAAGGCAATGAGAAACCAAAATACTCTCAGAGAGGATAAGGATGCTCAATTCCCAGACTCTTTTCATGTCTTCATATGATCATGCCTGAAGGGTTTTTATACAGTTAACGTGGTAACAGAGTACTTAGCTTGATTGTTAACTGAAGAAGTCACAGAAGAAATGCTCTAGGTTCCCCACCACCCAAAGTCTCCATAACACTGCCCTTCTAAGGCTGACCAGTGGAAAACCATGGGCATGAGCGTGAGCAATCTCATGTTTGCTCCCCTGTCCAATGCAGGTCCGACCAGCTTAGGAACCAGGCTGAAACAGCCCTGGAATCAAACCAGGATACCGATCCACATCAGCTTATGCTCTTACACCAGACTGGCATCCTGCATGCCCAGAAGACAAAGTGATCACCAAGACGAGATGATTCTCAGCTCCTTCCTGATAAGACTCTAGCGTAGAGTCTAGATCTGAAGGATCACTTTTAAAAGCCAGCTTATATAAAGATTGAACAGATCCTCAGCATTTGGGTGGTAGAAGATAGCATCACTGTTTACTCAATGACATAAATACCCTGAGGTCGTCCAGCTA